AATGGCACTTTTGACCACCAGCTGTGTGTGCAGCTAGGTAGATGTAAATCATACCTCTTGAACTTGCAGAAATCATGGTGTTTGCAATTCTGCATCCCCTCCATACACTGAAAACTGCTATATGGCACACTTAGCTCTAACAATGGGAAAGGTCTCAAGAACCCAATAGACAGCAATATATCACTGACGTGCAGTATATGCTCTGGTTAAAGATGAATGTCAGTAAATGAAATGGAGATGAAATTTGCCCTAGTGTGGCATAAAGCAGCTGGCGGGAATGGTCCAAACACCTCTTTCAACTGTTACCCTTCGTGCATCTGACAAAGAGAGCTGTGTTTCTCAAACACTTATGCTACAATAAAGTTTGTTAGTCTTAATAGTGCTACTGAGCTTTTTACTATTTTTACTATTTTGCAGCAACAGACTAACATGGCTAACTCCTCTGGATCACTCTTTTTTTACTCCCTTTGCAGAGCAACAGTGGTTCATAATTTTACAGTTTTCTGGGCTCAGGTTCAAAGCCAAATTCTTGTATCTTCAAGTCCACCAGTTTCAGTAAGTTTTTCATGTGATCAGGGTCACTGTATCATTGTGCAATAATGTTTCAGTTTTTGGTTTAAAACTTTGGGTTGGGACCTGTGAACCACAATGCTGCCTATGTGTGTGGCAATATCCCTGTTTCTTCTATATCTGTGAATTGTTTTATTTACATAGGCTATTCTTCATATGATATGTGTTCCAGAGTTGGTGAGGAATTCTGAAAGAGGAAATGATTATGTGAACATGCCGTCATAGATTGCCCATTATCTCTTCCTTGACTGCAAGATTTTTTGGGGTGGGAAATTTAGAAAGAAGCTACTTTCCTAAGCCATTTTGACAGTTGCCCGTTTCTTTCACAGGATTTACCCAGTTTCCCACAGAGTTCTAGACCTTCTTTAACAGTAAGTTTTTCATCTCTGCATCTTGTTTTACATTATAGGTTCCCCACTCTGCTTCTGTCCAGGGTCCTTTTCTTTATGCCAAGATTTACTTCCATGTGATTGTGTAGAAGGAGACATCTACTGTAGTACATAAAAGGCTTATGTCACAGGTGTCAGGTACACATTATTTGGGATGTGGTCACACACACTAAATAATACACTTTCAATCCTCTTTCAGTGCACTTTCCAAGTGGATTTTTATTGGCCCAATCTGCTTCGAGCATTTGCTCCACTGTTTTACCAACTAACACTGGAACAGAAAAAGATGAGGTTCAGAACTACATTCAAATACCCTGGGCCAACACCGTACTGACTGCAGTCACCCCTGAATGGCCATAAAACGGCCATAAATCCATGCAGACGGCATGCAATCCGGACAGCAAAGTGGCATGCAGTCTGGACACTGCCATAAAATCCGACAATCAGTCAAAGTGAAAGTGGCATGCAATGTTTCTGTCTTCTGTTCCAGCGTGGGTTTGGTAAGACAGTGGAGCAAATGCTAGATGCAGATTGGGTCACTGTGTGAACTAGCAAAATCCAGTTGTAAAGTGTGACCGCAGCCTTGGAGAGTCAAAACCATCAGACAGCAAAACCATCAAACAACAAAAAACTCCAGGGGTCACACCATTGCAACCAAAAGTGTCAATTCTATAAACGTTGGTTCCCTTATTTTATTCGTGATGTCCCATATCACATTTATCATAGCCCTGATATCAGGATATAAGGATCAGATTAAAAATATTCACTTGAGATTTAAAATAGTGATTTAAAAGAAAAAGATTGAAATGGAACAGAGATTTTAAGAAATAGGATCCACAACCCATGTCTCCTTCCTGAGGACTGCTGAGTTCCCTCTCATTAGTGTGGGAAAGGAAGAAAGGATTTCCCCAGACAGGAAATGAACATTTGTTTAGAAACAAGTGCATCAAAAAAAAAAATCATTAGGTACACTCATTAGAGATCCTCAGTTATTACTTCAAATATACTCTCAGTTACAAATCTAGATTTACCTCCCAGTAAATTTTTGGAATTGCTCTTAAAAGTATATTCTACTTTGATAGCATTTAGAGGGTAAGTGACCTGATCATTGCTGCAACGCCAAATACAAGGATGAAGGTGGGCCTTTATACATTTCAGTGTATACATGTATATTGAATTTCAAGTTCATATTCCTCTGAAGTTTAACTTGAAAGTGCATTTGTGATGTACTTAAACCAGAGAATATAATGTCAAGTAACTCATAGGATTAATTTAAAAAATAAAAGGTTGTGTAGCTAGGTTCATGGTTGACATCTGGGGAACTGTTTTTCATTGCAGATGTCCTCAACAGAAGTGTGTGGTGCACTGAAGTTCTGTTTCAGCAGCCTTGCAGGATGCGATCCACATGACCCGAGCTGTTACTTTATGTCATCAGAGGCATTGGAGAGTGGTGGTTTCAAATTTGAAATGAGTGGACTTTCAGATGGATATGTAGCTATTGGCTTTTCTGATGACACTACTATGGTGAGATAAATGTCAGAAAGCAAAAACAGGAGCAGGTGGATGTGTGTTTTAAATATCTCTCATATGTGAAAGAGAAACCTAAATTCTAACTGTCCATCAGAAGGGCCAGCCAGCCAAACGTGGCAGTTATAACTGATCTATGAGCAGTCATGGAGAAACTTAAAACGTAATCTTTTAGCAGCTTTGGTGGCCCTGATGAGGGCAGAAAATAACAACAACAACAGCAGCAGCAGCAGCAGCAGCAGCAACAACAACAATTTAATGGACTGTCACCCAAAATGCACATTAGTTGGTTCAGATTTAATGGCAAACTGTGGTTTGACTTTAAGTGAATGAGCTCCTATTTTCTTGCTTTCACTTCTTCCCCTTCAATTTACATGGAGTCATTCAAACAGCTTGCACCTAATTAGTACAAGCAATAGTTTGCCAATACAATGAACTGCCGAACTATGGTTTCATACTAGCAATAATGCTCCTCATTAGTTACCTGGATGGGGTGTTACTGGGGCAACACACCTTCAGAGCCACTCCTTGTTGTGTGCCTTGGCTATAGTTATCGAGATGGATGATGACTCTGCTTTTTCAATTCTGAAGTTGCTTGTTGGCCTGGATGCATAGCTTCCCTACTCCAGGGTTGAAAGTAAGCCAGTACTGAATCCTATTAAGAAAGTGGCCAAAGTAGTATCTCCTGTCTTCTGTCCTTCTCATTGATAAGCTGTGGAATTTGAGCAACCTGGTTCCGGTGTTGGCAGGAATGGGGCTGTTGTGCACAGTTATATTAGGTGGTCACTGGTTGTGTACAGAGCTGACAGCTGTAATCTGCATTTATCCTTCTCTGGAACAGTTTTATAATATTTTATAAGTGGACTGTACTTGTTGATTGAATGGATAAATGCATGGGCACTTAAAATATTACAAGAATCAATTTATAAAACATTGCAAACTGTTCTGGGAGAGGCAGGGAAGAGGGGCTGCAGCTAATCAGTGGGGTCTACAGCCAGCAATGAACTAATCAGTGTCCTACATGGGCAGCTCTGCAATATAATTTTCAGAACCAGTAAAAATGGGAAGCTCAGTTTGTCTTGTAGATATGTCGGTATGCATCCCAATAGCAAAATAATAATTTTTTTGTTCAGCTAGCAGATTGCATAAAGTACAATTAGTTGTGGCTAGAGTGTTGAGCTGTGATCAGTTTAGCTAGCAAATTTCATAAAGTACAACTGGCAGTGGTTAGATTGTTGAATTAAGATCCAGGAACCATAGAAGCTCGCTGGGTGACTGTTGGCCAGTTATTCTTTCTCAGCCTAACTTACCTCATAGGGTTGTAATTGTGAGGGGGAAATGGAGGAGAAAAGAGCAATGCTATAAGCTTCTTCAAGAAAAGCGGGCTATAAATGTGATCCTGCAAATCCCTTTCCGTGATATTTCTGGTCTTCCAATATTGTCTGCTCAGGCTCCTCTAGGCTTCTATGCGTTATCTCTTTTTGCCTCCATATCTGCAATCCCATCTGAAATGAAAGGCTTGAAGAGCAAACAGTTTCATATTTGTTAGCAAATCTATAAGTGTCATGAACAAAAACTGGTACATTTCCCTTGGGCTAGTAGTAGGGTAAGAAACAAATGTAAATTGAGCTTCTGCTCAGTAATAACTGCTGGAGGATGGATCTGTTGTGCTGCCTTTATTTATGTACCTAAATCTTTTCCTAGGGGAATGACGACATCTATATTTGTGGTAGGAATGCTTCAGATCACATTGAAGTTCAACGTGCCTACTCAACTGGATATACTACTCCAAGTATTAAACCTCTGGTACTAACTATGTCTTTCACTGCTACTATTTTTTTAAAAAAACCAAACAGTATTATAAGTATTATACAGAATGTAGAAGGATGTGGTCAATGCTGCCCCGCTCCCTGTTGCCTGCTGTGTTTCAAAAGTGAAATATCACTCTTCCCCAGATGCAACTGTTCAGAACTCTTTGCTTTTCTTGCTGACTTTTTTTTAAAAGCAGTTGTTGTCTACATGAGTTTGGTCCTTGAGTGTGTACAAGAAAAGAAACTGACCTCTAAACTGGATTGTGGTGATTGCCTTTTTTTCAGGGAATAGCTGGCAGGAATCTAATACGACTATATTTTCTGAAAACACTCATATAGATTTTCAGATGTTCAGTATCATTTTTTTCACAGGAATCATTCCTCCCCCCCAAAAAGCACTAATAGTGGGCCTTCAGTTACTCCTCGTTCTAAACAAAAGGCAGAGATATTTCAAGAGCTACAAAATAATTTTAATTCACTGCTGTCGGTTTTCAGTGATTTTTATGTTTATAAATGTATGACCATATGTACCATAACCACAGCCAAACATATTAATAGTAGGTTATCTTGTTTACCAGGGGAAGGTGGAAATTCTGGAAACATCCTATAACAACGGAATCATGGGATGTTCTTTCATTTCAAGAAATGCCATATCAATTCAGTCAAGAGCTGGTGACAGCTTGTATTATGTTATTTTGGCTCATGGACCATCATCAGCTGGTGAGTTCCATGTCAAAGTGGGAAGGGCATATAGCCACTTGCAAATTAAGAACAGCCAAAAAGCTTCAAATGTAGCACAAGTATTTTAGAGTAGTCAAGATACTTTTATTTTATTTATTTATTTTATTTAGGTATTTTTAACCCGCCCTCCCCGCAAGCGGGCTCAGGCCGGCTTACAGAGGGCGACAGCCCATACATAAAATCCATAAAACAATAAAAACATAGCAGCAATTATATATAACAATAAATAAATAAGTGCTTCACAGCAAGATGGTCTTTGGTGATGATGGCGTCTCTGATCTTCAGTCGGCCCCGTTGGGGTACCACTCTCCAGTAGGTGTTGATGTCACACAGGGTAAGCTGTACTTCCCAGGGTGATCCAAATCCGGTTGGAATTACCACCGTTGGTGGTAGCGGCGGCCCCTACGTGAAAGCCTGGTGGAAGAGCTCCGTCTTGCAGGCCCTGCGGAACTGCATAAGGTCCCGCAGGGCCCTGATCTCCTCCGGGAGCTCGTTCCACCAGGTAGGGGCCGCAGTGACCACAGTGTGAACATGCTAAGTATTTACAGATAATGCCACTCATTAACACCTGTCATAGCACACAAAAGGTCTTTAGGTTCCGGACTGATTTATGACATTATTGTTTTCATAAATATGAATGAACATATGAAATAAATCTGAAATGTTTAGAGTTCGTTTAGAATATAGTTAGAGAGTGACCAGGGGAAAAGATAGACAGGATTCCTATAAATTTTTGTAGAAGTGGGAATTTCAGCTGTTGCTGTTTACCTTACATTGTCAGATGCCCCTGCTGAAATACCCTCTTCTATTCAACAATTAAAGCTACAGGGTCCCTTCCCTCCTTCACTCTAGATACACAGTGACATCTTAAGCAGATTTACACCATTCTATGTCCACTAAAGTCAGTGGGTTTAAAAGGGTGTCACTCAGTTTAGGATAGCTGTTCTTCCCAATGCGTTGTGTAATCTGAGGCAGAACTTCATCTCCTGTAGAGGAAGGCACTGTAGTTACTAGTTATTGCTCCTTTCTTTTAAATATTCAAAGGGCAGATACTGAAGCATTTAAGGACACCCATCATGACTGCAGAGAGGGTGAACATTTCAAGTCCTGCAACACAAGGTGGCTCCTGGTCTACACCCTTGATTATTAAGGCTCATGGTAAGTGATTGTCTGAGAGCAGATTCACAATGTTGTATCTTTCTAATCTGGTTTTTGTGGTACCGTATGAAGGCAAGCCTAATGAAACTTGGTTTTATGATTGGTTTTCACATGTGTTTAAGGGTGACAAATAGAAGTGGGAAATGTTTGGTCTGTACCTTCTTCTGTTCCTTCTACAAGGACTGTCCTTGATAAACTGCACCAGTCTTTCACCACAGTCCAATATTAAACAGTTACAGTTATTCTGTTTAGGATTATAGTGTTTAGGATTTTGTTTAGGACTACACAGTCACTTACCTTGCAGGTTCTGAAGGCTTTGATGGTCTTCTTTTTGTAAAGATTCCTGGTAGTCTATTTATTTTGTAATGGGCTGTACTTGGGCACTGTGATAGGCCTCTATTACTGCATGTATAATTAAGATTATTCTTGCTAAGTGCACTCCAGTACTAAGCTTCTTGCTGAGTGATTACCTGGGTGATCTTTAGAAGGGTGAAACTTTGTTTAGGATTACACTATAAGAGCTAGTTTAAATATTTAAAAACTTGAGCTCAGATACATGTAAAAATGCATGTCAGATCACCAAGGAAATTATACATCTTCCAGAGCTGATCTGGACATTCTGCTCAATTTATATTTTCTTTAGGGAATGCATGTAGGTTAAAAGACTGATGTGTTCACCCATGCAGTTGAAGAAGTAGCATCCCGAGATATAACACATGGGAGGGGGGAATTGTTGGAATCATTGTAATGTT